TCTGATGAATAAAATGACATGCTTCAAGGTTCTTTCACGTTCAATATATGTACGAAGTTTGAACTAATTTCTGCTTCCCAGCCATAGATTAATATTATTATTATTTATCAATATTTATTAGTTATTATTTATTGTAGTATTGTTATTCTTTTATGTAATCTATGGCAAATAAACATGTGTCAATACACAACCAAGATCCAGTTCCAGAATTTAAAAAGTGCTCGACTTTGGTGAATTTTATAAATCATTAAAATGACACTCAATTAGATCCCCAAATGAATCAATTTGCATATGAGCTGCTTGATTCATATATAAAAATTGAACATCATCAGTCAAGGCATGTCAGAGATACAGCTTTGTATGTACCAAATTTAAACAAAATCTGTCCATGAACACCATAGATCTAATTTCAGAATAGTAAAATTTCTTTATTTTGCTGAATTAAACATTACAATGGCCTCGCTTTACCCATTTTGAATCAGTTCACCAAGCAATTAAATATGTATGTATGTGACATGATGTATATATAAAGTTTGTGCATGATCAGTCAGTGAATGTCAGATTTAGCTCTGAAACTGCATCTAAAGAAAACAACAAAATGGCCGCCAGTTTGTCCATTGGAAGCTAGGAAACAAAATAATGTGCATCAAGCCGGGGTCCATAATGTCTGATGTTTGTACAAAGTTTGCAAAAATGCATCCATGATCCAAATCTGGTTTCATATGCTTGATTTTAGCACAAAAATGGCCACCATTTATTCATCTTGAATTTACTCGTGAAATGTGAATGAACATGCATATGTATCACAAGATGCAAGATATATGTGTGAACTTTGAACTTAATCAGGCCAGGTGGGGATATCCTGAACACACTGTGGTCAAAACACAAGACCCTATTTTCAGGCTTCCTCTGCAATGGGAACTGATTAGCAATTTTTCAGCTTTTCAATTAATATCTCAAGAACTAATCATCACATTTCAATGCACAGGTGCCTGTGCAATGGACGAGAGACACCATACAAGAGATGCCACATATCATATGACAACATGGTCAGGTGATCTCATTTTTATGCAAAACTTTAATATCTCAAGTACCGTTGCATAGACGAATATGCAAGAACGTCAATAATGAAGCAATCTGACATGAAATACGACTGAAATGACATGGCCATAACCATTTCACAACCAGTTCCTTCTTTAATCACAAATTCACGAAATAATCCTGTTTATAATCTGCACTTTCCTTCAAAAGATTAGAACAAAATTAGCCAATTTTTTTTAGTAAAAACCAAAATTTGACTCAAATTCTGTCTGTTGGCTCTAAAACTAGGGTTCATTTCCAAAATATTGTAGATATAGAAAAAGTGCAGAAAATGTGGGCGAGTGTGAAAAGAAACATTAGCACTGGAATCTATGCATCTTATGGGATATCCGATAC